TCTCATGTTTCCCACTGGTACCTACCTTTTCCGGTAGGTTAATGTAATTGTGTTTTTCTTAATGTAGTTGCGCTTTTAGATTTGTAGTTGCAGTTTGCACTTCAGGGCCACCGTAGTTTTCCCCACTGCCTAATCGCACCTAATTAAAGTGAATTATTACAGAAACTTACTTTTTTTTTTACATGCCTTTCTCAAAATATTAGCAACCTGTTATAAATATTTGATGATGGAAAAAGGTTTTTTTCTTAAAAAAAAAAAAAAAAAAAACTCAAGTGATGTTTGCTGCTATAAAAACGCTGGACTGAAGTCAACTTTTTCATCACAAAATAAATTGAGTGTAATTATAACATTAATATGTTTTGTTCTTTTTTTTAAGTAGGATTTTTTTTAACCTAAATGTAAATATATCAGATATTTTTTAATTTATTTTCCTTTTTTTTTTTTATGTCATGTAATGTTTGCAACTCTAAATATGTTTTATTAGAACTGAAGTATTTTTTTTTTTTCTTGCCAATTCATAAAATTTTATTGACTAATTATGATAAAATATATTTTTTGTCCTTTTTTTAAGGTGGAAAAGTTTTTGTTTTTTTAAACATAATTTCGCAAAAGTATCGGATTTTTCTTTTTCAAGTTGTTTCCTTTATTTTAAGACCTAAAGTTCACTGTATCATTATGGTTTTTTTTAAAAAGGCCAAATCTCCTGTGGTAGATATTTATTAGTTTTATTTATATATATTTTTTATTTTTTTTATTTATTAATTTTTTTTGTTGTTACGAGCTCATGTAATGTTGGCAGCTCTAGTCAAGTTTTTTTTTAGCTGGAAGGAAGTCAAAATTGGCTCTTTAAATTGTACAGGTTGCACTCATGTGACCAAACAGGATGAATATCAATGCATGTGAATGCTGTAAGGCTCCTCTGACTGCTTTGGGTCTTTTTGTCTTCTTAACTCACATGATTGATGTGATTTCTTCCTTCTGATCCCGACAGGTGACGAGGTTATGCGACCTCTCGGTGGATGGGGACTCCGTCACATCTGTTTGTTGGAATGAAAGGGTGAGGCTCCTGGAGATATCAGTCTGTTTTTTTTAGATCCACTCCAGACACAAAAGAAACTGATTTTTATTTTTGCACAGGGAAGCCTGGTGGCTGTTGGGACCCACAAGGGTTACGTTCAGATCTGGGACGCAGCTGGAGGAAGGAAGCTGACCTGTCTGGAGGGCCATTCAGCCCGAGTAGGTCAGTCACACCTTAAGAAGCACAGCAGGGCTTTAAGTATGAGAAACACTCCGTATCACCTTAAGATAAACCGTATGGATTTTTAAGAGCTGCACTATTAATAAAGGATTGCCACAGGTCCTATAAATCAATTAAAGTTTTCCAATTTAAAAAAGTTAATAACCTTGAAAGATCTTTTTTGTTGTTGTCCTTTTGGGGGGTTGAGATCTGAGCCACATGGTGCCCGATATCAGTTTGCTAACCCTTGGATTCTACTGATTCCTGTACATAGTTAACACTTACTTAACGAGACACGCATCGGTGTGTTAAATCTGCTCATTGGTTCAATCCCAGTCATGATAAATTTGCCATCAAGTTGCAATACAAAAAAATCAAAGTATTTTTTTCTTAAAATAAGTGCCTTTTGTCTTGAATTTAGGAGGTAAGAGAAACTTAGCCAATGGGACGAGCTGATTTACATTTAAAATAAGAAAAAACATTTACATTGTCTTATTTCAAGTGCATATTATCCATCCATTTTCCATCACGCTTATCCCAAGCAGGGTTGCGAGGGGTGCTGGCACCTATATCCAGCTGTCTACGGGCAAGAGGCGGGGTTTACCCTGGACAGGTCGCCAGTCCATCGCAGGGCAACACAGAGACACATAGGACAAACAACCATTCACACACACACACAGCTAGTGCATATTATTTATAAGTAGTGATGGTGAGATGAAGCCTCATGAGGCATTGAACCGTTTGGCCAAATTGCTTCAACGATCCCCACAGTTCATGAGGCTTCATGTAAACATGTCACCACCTACTGGTGGAGTGCAGAAGTACAGTTTGTAATAAAATCAGTGTTTTGTTTTTTTTTTGCAACTGTTTTTCTTTTTTTCTCCTTTTAAATTCCCTTGAAATTATTAATGGTTGGTGTGTATAATAAAATCTTTTGTAAGTTTTTTTAAGTGTAAAATTTCTTAGAACAATAATTTAAGGTGCACCGTTGTTCTGCCATTTTAGTGAAATAAACTCAAGCAGACAGTGACAGTGTTTGTGCAAATTGGGTAATGATGAGCAAAATGAAAGGTGGTAGTCATTT